CGTGTTAAAATATATTTTTAAAAATGTACAAAACTAAACATCCTACAGTATTTTTGCAGTCTTTATTTTACAGTTAAAATTTATGTTTATCAAATAAAGTCTAATGTTACAACTAATCAAGGATCCCTTTAACATAATTCAGTGGTTAGAAAATAAGCCCCTGTTGAACCCTAGAATATTTACAATTTCTTTGAAAAAGGAATCCACAAAAAAGCAAACGATGCACAAACCCACTTGTTCAAATGTTAAAAATACAAAATGTACAAATTACATAAATACTTGTATGTTTTACCTAAAACTCCTAATCGATAGTTGAGGGTTATGACAATGACGTTGCCATAGCTTGCCAACACGCTTCCATCCATCATGTTCCCAGTGCCTTCAGAATAAGAGCCTCCATGGACGTAGACCATCACCGGCCGCTGACCCCCCTCCTCATGGATATCTGCAGGGAAGATAGGACATAAAACTCAAATATGTTCAAACCATCAAGGTGACATCACTAAAGCACCTTAAGTGTTTAGTGTGAGTGCTTGTGTGCATGTGTGTAAGTGGTGGGATGGGGTCACATGCATGTATATCAGCCTATATGTATGCATGAGTGAACCTGTATCCTTCCCACTTTCCTCCACAAGTAGAGGCGTAAACCCCGTAGCGACTGACGCAGGTGTCTGCATATTAAGAGTTGGTTCAACCAGTGGTGTGCAGAAGGGAGCGGAGAAAACAAGGTGCATTTTTAAAAACCTTTATTTGTTTATTCAACAAGGCTAAGTCTGTGCCCAGACAGCACACTGCCATGTTTTAATCATTTGTCACAGCCAAAGGTATCGTAGCCCCGCGTTTTGTCCCTCAGGGCACGGTGAACCAAAACAAGTAATCCCAATCCTAATCCTGCATGCATATTTAATCACCTCTGACCCTGAAAAGTCAGTGCTCTTCGCCAAGTTCACTCACCTTCCTCGGTGGGCACGTAGATGTTGAGGTAGAGGCAATCCTCGCTCTGGTGAGTGAGGTAAGTCGCTGCTATATCCAGGTTCGCAGTGAGCCAGGAGGGCATCATGTCTCCCAGCATGCTCCTCTCATCCAGCGACTGTGGGCACACGGGAGCAAACTGCGTCACATTTCGTATTCCGGGCCATGGCAGTGGAGGCTCCGGTGGCTGGAAGCGCCGATCACCAGTCGGGGGCCTGGCGTACGGTACTCCCAGGTACTGGATGACGGGCCCAAGGAGGTCCGAGGGCAGGGGGGTCAGGATGCCTCGGATTCTGCCCTGCGCTGTCGAAATGACAGGCACAGTCTGCTGGGCTAACAAGGGGGTCAGCTGAATGGAGAGGTAAAAGAACAGCGAGAGGAGGAGGGATGGGAATCCAAGGGGGGAGGAGAGGAACGAGGAAGGCCACGTCCTGCTGGTCCTCAGCTCAGACATGATGTTAGAAGACGGGGGGAAAGCCGAGGAGGAGAGAGGATCGGAGGCAGGTTGTGGTTTACGACAGTGACCCCCTCAGAGGTGTGCAACTCTTCTGCACAGCTGCTGCTGGACTTGGCCCATGATACACAAACAACACAGTGTCCTGTCAGGCAACCTTTCCCCTCGTGTGTGTGTGTCAGTGTGTGTGAGTCAGTGATTCTGCCTATCTGAGTGTGCGGTGACTCAGTCAGTGAGTCCCCTAAATACACGACTGTGAGTGTGTGTGTGTGAGCTAAAGTGTTTAGGTGAGTGTGTGTGTCTCGCACTGCCAATTTGAGCTTGCGTGCATGATGTGTGTGTGTGTGTGTGTGTGTGTGTGTGTGTGTGTGTGTGTGTGTGTGTGTGGAGGTTTGGAGGTATTAATTTTCACAGTGGTGATTTGGGTGAGTAAAGGGCTGGCAAGCTAACTGGTGTTCTCAGCATGCATTTTGTGTGTGTGTGTGTGTGTGTGTGTGTGTGTGTGTGTGTGTGTGTGTGTGTG